TAATTGAATATTTGTGGAAGTAGCCACCTAGTTGATCCAGTGCTGAACAAATTTCCCTTGCCCTCCCCCCAACTTCACTACTGTTGATATTTGATAACTGTCGTGATAAGCTTGTCAGGGGGGCCTGTCAAGGTCAGAGAGGTCAAACCTGTCCTTAGTCTTCCAAGGTTAAATACAAAAGACCTAAAGGTCTAAGGCTTGGTTACTGTGGGATGTTTTGGCCTTGGTAGAAGATGGATGTCTTATCTAAAAAACAATAGACTTGGGCTGTGGTGTGTTTATTCTTGACTCTCAAGACCAAATCACAGATGTGGTTACCAATTGCTTAGAGGATTAAGAAATAAAGTCTATTTGCTCCTTATACATGATAATAAAAGCCTTTTGCCATGTCCCCATTTTGGTTGGGGTACTTGAGAATATTAAACTTGGGGTGTTCAGTATTTACTAGATTGCACTCCTGACTCTATCCTATATTTCTGTCCCTTTCTTAGTGTCTTTACATGCCTTTTCTCAATCCGCATTCCCCCTCTAAGGTACAAACTGGACAAACTTTGTCGGATCTGACCAGAGCCCCACAAAGATGGGTTACATCAGACTGGCCCACAACATGGGGCTATGACCGAGGGTGACAACATAGGCTGTCCACTGTAGGATATTGAGTCTAATTTACTGGGTTCCACACACCAGATACCAGTAGCACCTTCCTCCTTGCTTGTCATGATAACCAAAATATCTCCACATACGGCCAGAAGTCCCAAGATAGAAAGATGGGAACAAATCACTCCACTTGAGAGTCACTGATGTAGAGTCATGGTGATCATGTGTTTAACCATGTGACTCCATTCTTCCTTGTGGACACTGGTAAAGTAGAGAGGGCTCTTTATAAGCACCCTGGAAGCAAATCAGTGAGGTGTTTCCTCAGCACTAGCTTTAATGAGATGTAATTTACCTAATGGAACATTCATCTTTAAAGTTCCAAATGTACAAGTTTGTAGTTTGTATACATTCTGTCTTCTGCAACTATCACCATAATTTAAACTTTGTCTATTATTATCCCTGCTCCCAGAAGGAAAGCCCATACCTAAAGTAGTCAGTCCCCTTTCTCCATTGGTTTACCCAGCTTGCTGCTTTATTTAAATTCAGGCTTCGAGGATGTCTCCTTTCACATAGGGTGGTGCGTTTCCGGGTTCTTTCATGCTATGGTGTCTATCACTACTCTTTTCCTTTTTATGACAAATTAATATTCTGTTGTATGAGTGCAGCACAGTTTGCTTATCAGCCATCGACCAATGAACATTTGGCTTGCTCCTACCCTTTGGCTATTGTTCATAATGCCATTAGCCTTCTTCATACACAAGTTCTTTGCAGGTCTGATTTCATTTCTTCTAGGAGTAGCTTGGGTCACATATTTGCTGTGTTACTAGCATTTTGAGGAACTGTTAAGCTGTTTACCAAAGGAGCTGAGCTTTTATATCTCCAACATCAGAGTGTGGAGAAGCCATGGTTGTATCCTTGTTGGCACTTGGCATTAACTGCCTGTTTGATTATGGTTGTCTGCATACCTATGCATTGACACCACAATGTGACTTTGATGGGCAGCTTCCTTATGGATTAATGGTGCTAACACTTTGGAGAAATGCCTGTTTGAATTTTGCATCAACTTTCAAACAAGGATTGTTTATTGTTAAATTTTAAGATTCTTTCTGTAGGCTTTTTTTTTTTTAAGATTAATTTTATTTGTATAAGTGTTTTCCCCAGATGTATGTGTGTGACTATAGTGTGTGTCTGGTGCTTGCATAGGTCAGAAGGGCATCAGTTGGATCTCCTTAAATTGGGGTGGTAGATGATCACAAGTCACCATGTGGGTACTGGGAACTGAACCCAGGTCTTCTGCAAGAGCAACAAGTGCTCTTAACTGTTGAGCCATCTCTTCAGCCTATTACCAGATATGTTTTACAAGTATCTCTCCCATTCTGTGGATTCTGTTCACTTCTGTTCACTTCTGTGAAGATTTCCTCTGACACAGGAAATTTTATATATATATATATATATATATATATATATATATATATATATATAATTTAAATTTGAAATAAGCTTGTTTTACATATCAATCCCGCACCCTCCCATTCTCCCCTGTTCCCCCACCAACCCCCATCTCATCCCCTTTCTGTTCCCCAGGAAGGGTGAGGCCTTCCATGGGGAGTCTTCAAAGTCTGTTATATCATTTGGAGCAGGATCCAGGTCCTCCCCCATGTGTCTAGGCTGAAGAAGTATCCCTTTATGTGGGATGGGCTCCCAAAGTCCATTGGTATACTAGGGATAAATACTGATCCACTACCAGATGTCCCATAAACTGCTCAGTCCTCCCAACTAATACCACATTCAGGGACTCTGGGTTGGTCCTATGTTGGATTCCCAGATATCAGATTGGAGTCCATGAGCTCCCCATTGTTCAGGACAGCTGTTTCTATGGGTTTCTCCTGCCTGGTCTTGACCCCTTTGCTCATCACTGAGACAGGGATGTTTTTAATATTCTCCATTTGTTCTCATGTTGTGTTGCTTATATTTTCAGTGTCACATGTAAGAAATCATCACCAAATTAAGAAACCACAATGATTTGCATTTATATTTTAAGAGTTTATAGTGCTATAAACTGTAGCACTAACTATAGGACTAACATTTAGGTGTAGAATCCCTTTTGAATTGATTTGTATGTATTTGTATGTAATGTGAGATTAAGATCCAGCATGGAAAGCTAGTTGCTCTGGGATAACTTTTTTTTTTTTTTTTTTTTTTTTTTTAATGTTCTTTCTCTATTTAATGACAGTTGTTGTTGTTGTTGTTGTTTTAATTAATTATTTTTTTTTAAAAAAGACATGTTTTTTAATTAGGGTGTGCCTGCATGAATTGATGTGTATCATATGTGTTCTTGATGAGGTCAGAAGAGGACACTGGATCCTTTGGAACTGGAATTACAGATAGCCGTGAGCCACCCAACCTGGGTGCTAGGAACTGAACCTGGGTTCTCTGGAAGAGCAGTGCGCTCTCCTAACTACCAAGTCTTGTCTCAGTAGTTACACTCAGCCCTAACTCTTGACTGTCTTGTTGAAAAACAATTGACTATAAAAGTAGGAGTTTGTGCTTGAGTTTTCAATTATATTCTTTTGGCCTATATGCCTATCATCATTTGTAATTCAGTCTTTTTAATCACAGAGAGGTGATGGAAAGGGTCTTTACGAATTAAAAGGGTGAAAGAATGAAGATACCAAACGTGGGTGTGCGTTTGAAAAAGATACACAAAAGATTTCAGTTTTAGAATCAGGAAGCATCTTAAAGTTGGTCTTTGTATAAACCCTGTGGGGGGAAATTATTAAATTTCTGTGTCAAAGACTAAGATTTCCTACAGGTTTGTGGCAGACAAGTGGTAAACCTGGGAATTGGACATTTCCTGTGACTCTCTAGGCAATGTCTTCCTTCTTCCCAGGCCCAAATGATGGCTCTCCAGTCCCGCTCCAGACTCTAGACTAGCTGGATTTCCCTCACAGAGCACTTGGCTTCTGTTTGGCCCTCACTGCCCTCAGCAGAGGGAACTGGGTGGGCGGCGAGTGTCTGCTTTTTCTTGACAGGCTGAGAGAATGGAAAGCCAACTAGGTGAAAGCGCTTGGAAAATGTGAAATTGCTATATAGGTGCCTCTAAATGATAAGGTTGCCAACTTGATGCTCTTCAAGGCAGGTTCACCGTGTCATAAGCAGCACAGCAGAAGGAAACAACTCTCTTAGACATGTTCATAAATTGTCATGATTGTCACTTTCCAGGAGAATGAACCTGTGGAGCTGGACATGGGGCCATGGGAAGCTACAGGAAGCCACAGGCTGGGATATCTCAGATGGAAGAGGCTTTGAAAGCATGTGCCTTTAGGAGACCCTGAGAAGACAGTAGAGTTTGTGTCCTACTCATGAAAAACCAGAGGCATAGGGCTTTGCCAGGAACTTTTCCAGACAGAGTCTGCTGTGGCTTGTCACATTTTTCTTCTCTTCCCTTTGGTCATTCCCAAATGTGTCTCTTTCCTAGGGCCATAGGTTATCTCAAGTCACATATAAATGAGAGATTCCTGTTTAAAATCTGGAGGCAGAGGGACTTGCCTCAATTTGTGAGTCCCTGGAGGACAGAAATAGGCACCAACCTCCCCCCCATCCCTGCTCTACATACATCTCCCACCCCTGTCTCTGCTCTGATTGATGCCTGTTAATTATCTACAGCATGCCTGTTTAGAAGTTGAAGCTTGGTGTGAGTCAATAAAGCCGGAGCTCTGGTCACGGAGTGTCTGCTCAGGCAGTCTTGTGAGTGTCTCTATCCACATATATGTGCCTCCTTCTCTAAACTGAATGTCTATACCATCCTTGCATCCTGATGCTTATCTTTCTCTTTAAATCTGTACTTCTTGTCTTAGCACCTAAGACATGCTTTTCCTTAGCAGTAAGAGCTTACAGGCTGCACTTCTCTGAGTCACCAATTTCTTACACATGCTACACGGCATGTGTTTTGGGATGGGGAGGTTGAGCCTTGTTCACTGGAGGACCAGTAACCAGGATCATTTTGAGACACTGAGGATGCTGTTGTGGCATATATGTAGGTATACATATACATATACATATACATATACATATACATACATACATACATACATATATATATATATATGCATGCGTGTATGTATGCATCAGGAAAACTACTATTTTGAAAGGGCTTATTGTTTACAGATATAGAATAAATTACAGAAAAAGATACTATGCTCACAGCCTTTCAGAGTCATGTCAGTCTCTCTCCTATACCCTTGTTGATCAGCACCAGATGAAACTGTCTTCGGAGTGCTCATAGCCACATCTCTGGCTTTTTCCACAGGTTTTCAAAGCAGAGTGCCTATGGCAGTAAGCTGGCCTCTTTGAGGTTGTGTGCACCTGACCAGTGAGGCTCACTGTGTACTCTCTTTGTTTAGGGCTCTGGCTGACATACTGAGACAACAGGGACCAATCCCCATAGCACACTGTGAAAGAGAAACCATCTCGGCCATCGATACCTCTCCCAAAGAGAACACGCCGGTCCGATCAACCTCGAAAAACCACTACACTCCTGTGCGCACGGCTAAGCAGACTCCAGGTAAGTGAGAATTGGTCACCTTGAAGTTTTACTGACTCTGCTGTGAGGTTCTAGTGCTGTTTCTGCTCTGGCTGGGCAGACTGTGGAGTGCTGTGCAGTGGTTGATGTTCTGATAGAGAAGACAGGCTTTTTTTTTTTTTTTTTTTTTTTTGTAAGAGTTGGGCTGTCTTCTGAGGAAGGTTTGGTATGAGAGAGACCAGGTCTGGGACGGATGAAGACTTGTGGCCCATCTGTGCTTTCACTGGTAGCTAGTGTAATTCTCTAGTGTGAAATAGAGCTTGCAGCATCCATGGTGGAGTATAGTTGCCCATTATCCTATGTGGCAGAAAGGTTTTGGTGCTGTCCAGGATGCTGGATAAAGATATAGGCTGTATTCTGATGCAGAAACTGTTCAGTTACTGGTACCTCAAAGAGCACTTTCTGAGGACAAGAATGATATCTGAATTTTAGGGTGATCCTTTCTTGTAAGATACAGGTTCCCTGCATATAGGATGAAGTGTCCTTCTATATAAGTGGGGAATTGGATCTGAGACACCCGAGGGTACCAAATGCTACAGATGTTCAAGCTCCATATATACAAATGGTTTGGTGTTGACACAGTGCCACCACAGGTCCTCCTGTATACTTTAAATGATTTCCAGATTCCTGAGAATTTCTAACATGATATCATTATGAGACTTGCTATGCCATGGACTTTAGGGAATAACGTCGAGAAAGTGTGTACCTGTTCAGTAAGGCCCAGTTTGGGGCTTTGATACATGGTTGGTTGAATCCTGTTGAGTTGAATTGTGGGGCTGGTTTGATCTGTACCTGTAGATGTGGGAGCTGAATGTGCCTTTTACTTCTTTATTTCATCATCATGGTAACACTAGGAAAAAAACTGGGCAGGACTTACTGTCCTTGTCTAATGGATTAGTGAATGAAACTCAAGAAAACTCAGTAACTTGGACAAGATCAACAGGTATAAGAATAAGAAAACAAACATGTAAATACCAATAATATATCATGCTATTGATCTAACTATTGTCCAGAGGCTTTTATAAGTATGTTATTTTTTATTCTTTGTAGCAATCTTGGAAATATTTATCTACCACTTTATATGAGGAATATAAAGGTTAAACATTTCCCAAACCATTCTATCCTTCCCCTTCTAGGGACAGGTATGTAAACTATCTGAAAGGATAGCTCCTTATCAGTATGTTGAGAACGTTATCTCCCTGTGAGAACTACCAACTAGTTTAGTATTGATCCCACTCTCAGGCATACAGTTTCTGCTTTGGTACTTAGATCTGGAATCTTCACATCTGTCACTTTATCCAGAGGTCTGAACTAAGCCTGCAATAAGGATATACAGCCACTAGGTGGCAAGAAGTGGGTGTACTCAAATCCTAATTGTAGCTGAAATCAAATTTATTCCATTTATGCTTTAATCCTCTTGAATCTATCAAGTTGTTCTTGCCTTTAAGATAATAGTCTTAAACCTTTAAAAATTATTAAATTTTATGTGAAATCTCTTCACGTATACCTGCATGCCAGAGGAGGGCATCAGATCCTGTTACAGATGGTTGTAAGCCACCATGTGGTTTTGGGAATTGAGTTCAGGACCTCTGGAAGAGCAGCCAGTGTTCTTAACTGCTGAGCCATCTTTCTAGCCCTAGACTTAAATCTTTTGAACATCTGATAAAAGCTGAATGTATATGAATACAGACATGTATGTATTCAGCCAACAGTTTGCAAGAGATTAAAGGGATCCACAGGCCCCTCCAAATTTAGTAACCCCTGCTTCACATGTAAAGATGAGTAAATTTGCTGTACAAAAACTCCTTAGGCGTGTTATCACCTTGAATACCCTAGATCCTTGACCTGGAAGCAGTAGAGGGAATTTTGTCTGAAGCATCTAGAATAGTGGCCACCCATCAGGCTGTGTATGCTTTAGAAACACCTAGTGATATATTGAAAATGCTGGGGTCCAAGTGTCATAAAGTAGGAGGAATTTCTAGAGTTGAGGCTGACATTAGTGTATGAAGCGTCACAACAGGTGATTCTAACATGCACCCTGTGTGCAGAGTCACTGGTCTGGTTGGGTCCTGATCTGTTATGAGCAAGGACACAGAATGCCCAAGTCCCCCAGCTTGGCTATGTGTTGAGATCCTGTAGCAAGCCTAAAACATTAAGGGCACCTAAGACCCAGTCTGGTATATCATGACTTAATCATTATGTAGGGTGTGGTTTGAGGATAGGGGAGGTATTTAAAGTTCTCCCTAATGCAAAGTTTAGAGTAGTTGGCTCTGGGGCTTGTCCACTGAACACCATTCTTAACTTCAATGTTCTCACCGGCCATGAGTATTTTTATTTATCTGAAGATTCATCATTTGAACTCAATCTCTCCCAGAACTGTGTCGTGACTCTGGGATTTCTAGCTATTCTGGCATCAAAGTTTCCCTGACTGTTGAGTCTCACCCTTCTGTTCAGTATTTATCCTGTCTCACTTACAGACTGATTCAATGGACAGTCTTGATTTGCCCTTAAATGCCCTTGACTGGTCAGGGAGAGTTCTCATTTCTTGTTTCTTACACACATCTCTCTAGTGAGTTATGAGAAGGAAAGGCAATGCTTACATGACTCAATTCTATGTTTCAAGAAATCCCTCTTTTTATTTCTCAAATTACAACTCTCCACTTATCTCTCTCTCTCTCTCTCTCTCTCTCTCTCTCTCTCTCTCTCTCTCTCTCTTTAAGAAGGGAATGCCAGGGAAGCATTCTCAGTGGTGAAGCAGAAATGTACAACAAGCGATTTCACAACAAGCTACATCTTCTGTAACTTCCATCAAATGCAATGCTTTTCTAAACGGCTGCTGTCCTTTGCCACACAATGTTGCAATTTGAGCCACCCGCAGTTTAAACAGAACTTTGGGCAAATGTTCAAAGTGGAAATTTACTGTGACATTCCCACTGGTTAGATCAACCACCCACCAATTGTAGTAAAGTGGCAGAGGTCCTAGGGGGATATTAAGGAGGCAGGCCTCAGAGCATGCAGTGGCTCTGCCATTCAATGAGATGTTCTGGGATCAGCTGCCTGGGATCTGCTGGGAATTTGTGAGCCCTGCAGCACCACAGTACCCGTAGGCTCTCACCTGCAGAACAAGGCCCTGTATGTTAGTGAAAAAAACTTAGCAATTTAGACTGAGAAGCAAGAGGAAACATGGGTTGGCTTGGGACACTTCTTCCAAATAACTGCAGTTCTGATCAGGCCCTGCAGTTCCTTGTCGGCCACTGTGACTACTAGCTCCTGCTGTCTAGATTTTTCTTGGAGTATTAGTTAACTAGGTTGAGCACTCAGACAGACCCTGTCCACAGCAAACACTGACTATCAGCCATGAGCAAATTGAGGAAGTGTATGCATAGCTCCTGGCGGGCAGATCACATGCATGAAGGAAACAAGGGCAACACGTTGGCATTCTCAGGCCAGGTGGAGGCTGTGGGGCTGTGTCTGGCACGATCAGGGTTTGGAAAGTTGAAAGCTCATGCTCATTTGGTTTGGAGACTCAAGTGGAGGTCCTTCCATGATAATGAAATATGATAATCCATGTAGCATAAGTACCATGCATTGAGGGGTTGTGATGTACTGGGTACTCTGTTCAGTACTTTATGTATGACAGAATGGGGATACTGTAATAGTTTTATGTGATGGGACCTTCCAATCTCTGAGTCTTTTACTGATACTTTCCCAAGAAACATCTTTCCAACATCACAGGGGGCTCCACAATAGGCATTTACTTGGGGCTAGAAAATTATGGAAGCCTATTTGTCTCCCAACTCCTCAAATCTAACTGTCTATTCAATTGGTGGTCCATGGCCCAGCATCAGCCCTCTGATGAGAGCTGGCTTGAATTCCTAGTGTGGCCACACCTCGGAATCACAAAAGGTTTCTGAGAATATGATGCCTGCTGGCTTCTGTTGTGAAGAGTCTCATCTGTTTGATCTGAAGCAGAATCTGAGCATCGGTAGACTAGTTTCAAAAATTCCCTACACCCTTCACATGATCAAAATTGGGAACCAAGTTCTAGAGGAGCCCACTAAATAGAGAGGAAACCCTTTGAAGGGTGTGGAATTCAAGGTCCAGACAAAGTCCTGGGATAGGCACTGGCTGCTCAGCAGTAGAGGCTGGGATAGGCACTGGCTGCTCAGCAGTAGGGGCCTGAGAGAGAAGTTCTCTCATGGTGGATATGGCCAGGGGGTGTGGAGGAGTCAGACACACAGGAGAGAGAGGGAAGATCAGGTGTGCATCTGGGAGGAGGATTGTGGCGAGAAAGCAGCACAAGAATCAACAAAAAGACCACACAAAATCATTCCAAGATCACAGTTGGTGTTGCAGATCCACAGAGTTCAGGGCCCTAGAGGCTTGATCTTCATAGAGGGAAGTAATGGAGGCTGAGTGTGTTTACTTGGTCTGGGTTTCTCCTAAAGAGTTTGTGTGAGGGTATCTGTGTATAGTGGAGTGTTCTCCCTGGCAATAGACTCCCTGTTCCAGAATTTTGATCTCCAACTTCTAGGATCAAGAGTGGCATCAGCAAGACGCAGTAACTATTCATGCTGCCTCTCAACCACTGTGTGTTGTAAAGGAGTCACCTGTATACTGTCATGGTCACAGCCTTGAATGGTCAACCAAGGGAGCCACAGGGTGTGATGGTTGATGTCAGCTGACAGGGATGTGCTTTGCCATAGCCCTTGTGGATTGTCCCTCCATCCTTGGGAACATGACATCAGCTCCCACTGACTTCTTGCATCTCTCCACGGGCTCCACTTATGCTCACCTCCTCGAATGCCCCCTTCTTGGTGTGTGTGTGTGTGTGTGTGTGTGTGTGTGTGTGTGTGTGTGTGTGTATGTGTGTGTGTGTATGAGAGAGAGAGAGAGAGTGAGTGAGAGAGGGGAGAGAAAGAGAGAGAGATTGATTTTCATGTTGGGGCTCTGTTTTGTTTTATTGAGATCATCTTTCACGA